AAACACTTTGTAGTGAAAAAGACTACTCTGTTGTTGGTAGTTTTGAATACAACTTGATCATACTCAAGGATTTTCTTTTGAAATTTATAATAGCTCACTTGCTTGAAAAAATGTAATCATATTGTCTATTCCAATTTCAGTCCACCAATTCAAACGTCCTGAACTTACTTCAAGTGTTTAGATGATCAGACAAGTCTTAGATTCATTATGTTGATTCTATATCTTTATCGTTGTGTATTAGTAAGTATTTTTTCTTTGTTCCTTGTTCAAAACTTGTGTGTTCTAAACGTTGCATATATTATGTTGTTGTTGAAAGTTCCTCGAGGAGACTGCAAGGTGACTATTGTTGCTGGAGTTACTTGTTAATTGTTGCAAGTGAATATTTATCCCAAACCTTTTTCTCTCCTACAATGACAAAAAAACGGCCGTGTGCTTACATAAAAGATCACGATGAGAAGTTTTGGTTGAAAATTGTGCGGTAGGATCCAAAATTGTCAAAAGTAGCTGGTCTTCAATGTCGCTTTTGTGATACATTTGGTCGGGAGAAAAAAATTGATTCAAAACGGATTGTTGCTTATACGGTTCAAGCATGAAAATCTCCCTTTCGTCTCGATAATATCACACATCATCTTTGCATCCAATATTCAACTCAATGGACGATATATCAGAGCTTAGAATCATCTTCAACTCATATTTTATTTTTTGAGTATATTTCAGTTGCGTTAAAATTTTGATCAAAGCTCATTTTCCTTCATCTTTCAAAGATAAGGATGAAGTAAAAACAAAATATGAAATTGAACAAAGCTCATTTTACTTCATATTTCAAAGATGAAGATGAAGGAAAAACAATGTATGAAATTGAATAATATATTGTAAATATCATTGTCAAAAATATGATGTTCAATCTAGAGGAGCAAGAAGAAGAAAGTGAAGGAGAAAATGATATAGATGAAAATCACATTTTTGATAGTATGTTTGAAATTAATAATGAACTATTTTGCTGTTGTCAAGAAACAACGAAGTCAAGAGAACGAATTTGAATAGTGTTGAATCAGAGGAAATCACTGCAAAATATTCTTACTACATCACAATCTCGAAGACAAAACAACTTTGTTTTGCTTGACTATGCGTTACGTTTCTTGCACAACATCATTTCATATTGCGGTCAAATTTATCAGCTGCACAAATAATGTTTTAGTTAATCTTTGTTCATGATTGTGCTCTCGTCACAAAATTAATAATTGTTTGGATTATTTTGTGCTGCCAATTTGTAAAGAATTGCCAAACTTCTTTGAAATTCTTGGGCATTTTTCATTAGCATTCGACTCGGCGTCAGATCAGAGCACTTTATTTTTTTATCAACGTTTTTGAATCTTCGTTTATAACTATCCTTCTGTTGTTAATTTGCATGATTGTGCACTTTTGATAATTGATCTTCATACATGTGATGTAATGTTCATGATGATGAGCAAGTTTTCGATAGTTCTCTATCTTGATTGAACAACTCGTCTTCTTGGTTTGACAACTTATGAAGCCCGCAATATGATAGGGCGGGTAACTGGTGTTGTTACTTGTCTTGTCGATGTGATGCACAATGATTGTTCTTTGATTTGAATTTGGTGCGGAGCACATTAACTAGATCTTGTTATGGAGTAAATAATAAACAATGTCATCATGAAACGATTCATTTCAGTGATGACTAAATTTATTACTCATCTAACACGTTAGTTGAATTTGATCGCGTACTACATGACCTTGTGTTATTAATCATTGGCTTTTGACGGTGAAGATCATTACTGGGTTTAAAATTCATCAGACATGGTTGTTTGTTTATATTGAGTCAAAGTAGACAACTTCCGCTCTAGCTCAATTTTGATGGATTGCACTTCTTTCTATGCATCATTTCACCACTCGAGTAGCTTTTACTTTTTTGTGCTATTCAAGAATTAACAATTCTTAAATGCAGTAGCAAAATGCACTAGATAATCTTGTCGCAACTTTCATGACCGACGTTGGAGTGATTGGACCACTCAATGCGGATTCAATTGCGATATCGACATAGCAACTTACGTCATTGTTGATCATTATGCGATTGCATTGTCCAATGTTCAAGAATCTCTCTTGGTCTAGCTTCTTGGGTTAAAACCTTACTTAATGAAGCCGATGAGAGCAATCTACCCGATCTTCAACACAATATCGCCCTTGTTTACGCCATCGCTTGCTATCGGATAGATGAAAATTGTGCTTATTGAGATCAAAACAACAATACAATGATTGATTTTGGTTCCGTATCTCCATTGTTACCACATAAACTTGTCATGCTATCTGAAACAGATTTTATACAAAAAAAATTGACAACATGTCTTTCAATTATAGCATTCTTATTCATCATATCAGATTAATCACATAGATGATGAGCACAAAGCTCTAATTAATGTTCATAGATGTGAACAAGTGATTAAATGCGTAGTCGATTTACTTTTCACCAATTCAAGTTTCAAAAAAATCTAGTTTTTATTTGATGCTTGATTTTTGAATTTGATAGATTATTTTAATGTAGTTGCAACGCTTTTTGCTCGAACCAATACTGTAGAGTCTGACTTTTCAATTTTGCGTTGAGAGAAAGATTTGTTTCTCAAAAAATTATCAAACTTTAAAATAGAAGAAATCATGCAAGCAAAACAATTTTTGTTCATAGAAAAATCTGAACATTGATAAATGCTAAGTAAGTAATTTGTATTGAAAATTGTCTAAATTTTTTTTTGTAATAGACAAAATTAGCCTACATCAACCTTTTTAGGAGACCAAATTTACCTAAATTGATTTTCTTGAGGAGATCAAATTAAAAGTATTTAGGCGAATGACTATTATAACCATGACTGTGTATAAATGATTGTTATCATGAGCTTAATATATTATTAACATTACACAAAGCATTGTATGGAGTTATTAATTTGATGGGACCCCATCAGAATCTAAATTGCTTCATGGAACCCATCAAATTTTGTTTTATCCAATTAGATTTCATTTATGGACTCATCACATCGTTGTTGCTTTTCTATTATACTATTGACGCTCACGAACATCAATCACATTGTTGTTTCTTCTCATTTGCACAATTATTACTCACAAACAGTGCAAATGTATTTACACTATCTACGTTATTACTCAAAAGCAAAATTTGTTTTGATTAACTTCATTATTCATAATGAAGGTTTGAAGATCATAGAAACTATTTGACAAGCCCATCAAAAATATTGTGAATAGGTCGTGGATGATTAAGTCAAAGAGTCAAATAATTTACACAATACGAATGAAGCAGATTTAAAACCACAACTCAATAATAATAAATTAGTTTCAACTTAAGATATAGTACAGAATAATACAACTCATAAACTGGATATTAGATAGTAAGTTTAAACATAAAGTAATACTCAATTAAATGGACTAGAGTAGAGAAAAAGAAGTATGACACATCTTAGGTCTCTATTGCTTTCTATTGTAACAAAAGAAATTGAACCAAGTGATTACGTAAAGTTTTGTAATTAACAAGTATTCCTAATCCATGTACATTGGTAACATTGTATACATTACATAGGGATAAAAGTATCTTTAAGAATCCAAAAGACCACTCAAGTTTAAATGTATAACTTTGACTTTCTCTGACTATTATTTTACTGTTTTATGTGATGATAGTAGTGATCAAATTTACGAAAAAACCTTTTGAATTTGATTACTAAAAAATAGAATCAAAATAATGTAAAAAGAGACTAAATTGCAGGCAAGTGAAATTTTAAATAGGGTAATACATTTAGTAAATTTAGAAAAAAATTCAAGAAATGAAATTCTCGTAATATCTTAATTTTTTTATGATCAAATAAAAATAATTTATTGCATTCTATATCATACCTATGTAGTTGCAGTAATAATTTCATACATAAATATTATAACAGGATAAGTTGTATCATTAGTAGTGTATAACCTCAAGTCACCAAAACCCTTTAGTCAGAGCATACGATTGTCCAAGTTTTGTAATTTCGAAGGAATAAAGGCCAAAATCTTTTCAATATGAATAGTTTATTACACAGTTATTATTATATAAAACCAAATGTATATTCCAGAACCAAATAGCTCCAATTAGGTTGCTGAAACGAGTTATTCCATTTTGAAAGTGATAAATTGGGTTGTTTCATAACCTCCACGTCACCGCAAAGGTATCAAGCTATACATATACCATCAGGCCAACATCAAGATACGACTGCGCACTGAAATTCCTTACCAGCATTCAGATCATTCTCGCCTAAGATAACCACTCTGTCAGGTAACCCACTACAAAGACAATGAAAAGTCGTCCTTTGAGTGACGGGGAATACAGTTTCGGGATCCTGAAGTTACACCGTGAACATTATGGGTTTTATTATTTACACGACAATCTTACTTAGCATTGAGCATTGAAAAAAATCAAATTCTCACGACTTGGAATTCACTAAGAAGAGTATTTCTCCTGGATTTACGAACAAAGCTTTCAGTTACATAAGTAAAAGTATCCTTAAAGGACTCAAAAGAACTTAAAAGTATCCTTAAGGATGGCGTATGGTGTTTGATCCAGCCCATTCATCATTCAAAGTTCTATCTTGAAAACCATTCTGATCATTTATTAAGAGGGAAATGATACATTGGTTTAATCTTCAATTTCACTTCGTAACATTCACATCGTCAACACCGATTACAAGATTTTCTATTTGACAATTAAAATTCTTTCAGGACAACAGGACCGGGAACTAGGTGTCATATCAGGTAGAGCTCCAATATCACGAATCGGATCACTGATTTTCTCACAGGGAATTGGGCAAGATCATAAAGTAGAGAATACTTGCGGACTTCAGGTTCAGAACACCAATCATGTCTGCACACAATGGTGGGAAGTGGGGACAAAGGCCAATTTCAATCCTGTTCGAGATGATGACGTTGATTGGTTCTGCGATGTCCTTGGACATCCAAAACCTCATGATCTGAGCACCGAACAGTGCATAATCCTCATGTATTCCTTAACTTTAATTTTGAATGAAAGTATTTACACACGGTTCCTAAGTCAAATCCAGACATATCACGTCGCCACTGAATTTCGATCAACTACCATGGATCACCTTAACGGCTGCAAGTGCATTATTGTAAATGTTCCTGCTAAGAAACGTGAACTCAACTAATCAATGTAATATGTTCTACTTGTCACTTCCGGGGTTTCCATATACTACGTTCGTCATCAGAAAGTACAGTATCGTATTCTTCAGACCCTTGGGTATAAGGATCGACTTCAGCAAGGTCAAAACCGCTGCTATCGCTAAGGAAGCCATCACCGGAAAGCTCATCCTCTTCTTCTGGATAGTCATTATTGGGATTATTCTCGTCTGTTCAACCATTGCAACGCAATACAGTAAGTAAGAAATCCAATCCGCAAGCTAGGCGAAATTTTCGACAGAAACGCAGCATTGGAATATCACTAGCTGAGTTACACAGGCGGATACTTTTGTATATATTCAACTGAAGGGACAAGAAGATGCACATCACGAGCAAAGTACTTCGAGAAAACAAGCTGAATGATACAGTTCCCTCAGCGAAGATATCCATACCGTTAGAATCTTCGCTATCGTAATCCGAATCATTCAAGTCCCGCCAATCATAATCCTGATGATCAAGCACTTGAATTCTGCGCAATCACATCATCAAAACAGGGTTAAGCATGGCCGTAAATGGCATAAAACAAAAGATGCTGAGCAAGCTGCAACCTGTAACCGAACACTTTCTCAAGTGAATGTTTCCGAAGATATAAACCCAAAGGTAGGAGGAGCTTTCAGATGTGGCTGCATGCTTGATGGATAGTTTGCTCTAGACGTAAATGACATCAAGGATCTGAACACAATCAGAATTACGTCTCCTGGACTGGCAACTTGCATCTTCATAAAAGCAGAACACAGTGAGAGACGTGCTCTTCGCGCTTCCGACAACGTGAGCACATATTCAAAATGAACGTACGTTGGAATAGAAGCTTCGAGTCTTTCAGCGTCCTCCATGTCTTCGTCAAGCGTATAAACATCATACACATATTCTTCTACAGGTACATCTGTGATGCAGGAGATACAAATCCAAGTTAGTGCTCAGAACGGATGTCGTCAAACTTTCATTAACTGTGCAGAGACTATCAATAGGCAAGAGCGAGAATCTTATGAGAATACATGATTGACCGTCCTGGATATCCAACCTACACACTTAGTAGCTTGTGAGCTAATATCACCCTTTCAAAGATGCTACTGTATGTGGCAAGCTGCTGGGCTTAGAGCCCGTTGAAACAACTGCTCCAGCATTTTCCTTCTGCTCTCTAATACCATAAGTCAACAAGTATTGGTGAATCTTGACTTCTCATATGTAGAAGGCGTGAGAAGCGCAACAGTTCGAGAGTTGCACACAGGTCAACTTCCACACCTTCAGTAAACTTACTACGTTAAAAGGCTGCGGCGATACTACTCGATCTCGCCCTGAAATGTCCATCAACTGTAATTCTATCCAAAATTTCGGATATTTTGGGATTTCGAAGCCAGTTGAGCCATAAAGCTGGGTTAAACATTTAAAAGAGTTACCACCTTCTTCTTGTAAAAGAAACTAACATCCCATGCACGTGATTTGACATTTGTATGGTCTCAGAATCTAACCACTTCAGCAACAGTATTGGGCCGAAGTCCCCAATAAGAACATTTTACCCACTATGAAAGACCGCAGTCTACAATAAGGAAACCTCAAAATGTTCTTATACTTGATGTTGAGTTGTTAGTGGTGATGACACGCTTTCTGTAAATGATACTGTTACGAAGAGTCAAACGACACGACCTTTGACGGTAAAAGCGCTGCACCGCTCTCGTACCCTTTGATATAGTTGAAATTCTCTCATCATTGTCTTCTAAGCGACTGCGTCTTTTACAACAGCCTAAACCCGGAGACGAGAATGTCCAGAAAGCCTAACAGACAAGTCGACTTTCGAGGTCATGCCGAAGGTCAGCGGCAGCAGCACCCTTTCAAAAATCAAGGCAACCGAACAGACAGTATCGCTGGCTCAGATGCTACAAATGACAGTGATCGCCAACGCCTTCAGAATAAGGAGATATCTTTGTTAGACAAAGGTATAACCAGATTCCAAACAGCCTTCCGCGCTAACCATGGACAGATACATTCCCCCCACCAACCACTCGCTAGCGCTACAAAGCTGAAGAGCAGTGATTACCAGCCCCTCTTGTGCGCAGAGCGGACTGATGTGAATTCCACTCTACCTTGCGGGAGGCCAGCGCCACCACCTCAAGGTATTGCGTGTGGCAAGCCGAATAGGACTAAACAGGAATATGGAAGTGGATGGCCACAGAGCCATCGTGGCAGACCATGCAGACCAGAATGGCTTGAACAGATCTACATCCCTCCAAAGCAGCATCCAGCTGGAGCATCTGCGTGGAATATAATACCGAAGTATGTGAGGCCCAGGCTGCCATATGGTAAGAATGTTGGTGACATTCTTCCAAGGCTTGGACTGAGGCAGACAGACGTAATCATTTGGCCCTGTGTTAACGCTGACAACGTTCGAAGCAGCGGCTATGTAGGCTTCGCAAAAAATTCTGAGTCATTGGCAATGGAAGCAGGCACCATGCTCCTGAGGATGGCGAAGTCCCACAAGGGAACATTTCAAATGAGAGAGCGCATAAAATTATTTCTTCGTACAGTCGATGGATGCTGGAGGTTCAAGGGGTTGTTGGATACAGAGAACTATTTGAACAAAAAATGTGATCCTTCGAATTATCAGAAAATTCCAGTAAGATACCAGAAAACGGTGGGCCCAAACACAGCTGATTTTCGTTGCATTCCTCAAAGGGGTGATGTCATTATTCATGAGCCCTGGAAGGACCTCCAGCACACGGATCGCGCTGATAAATGCTCATCCCTCAGATGGTTTTTGCCTACTCTGGAGATCGACTTAAATGATGTATTGGTTCGCTTTTGCGTGTGGAAAAATTCCCCTCGAGATACTATGTATGATGGATTTGTGGAAATCTATATATTCAACGGCATAGGTTTGGGTTGGGTTTTCCTGGGTAGAGATGAGACAACTATCCAATCTCTAGGTTTGCAGGTGGATTCAGATACATCTGACGATGACTAAGAACTACCACTATCGGCCAGTTACATCCCCCTGACAATAAATTACGTATCTCTACATCTACGCTAAAAATGACTTTGAGCTTACGGATTGGGCTCTGATTTGATGGTACACATTAAGAATCAGTGGCATAGGCAGAACTGACCATCCTAACTTAGATAGAACGAGAGCAGGACCAGCTGCGCAAGAAGAAGGAATGAGGTTTGTAACATGATTTTGCCGGAGCCCTGTACAGAGTGAGGGTTAATACTCGGCAACGTACGGGGCTTAGAGGTGTATATTATATTAGTGAACGGCCCAGACGTTTGAGAAGTAATATAGCTAATTTCTTCAGGTGTATGAGTTTCCTTCTAGAGACACGTGTTTTATTGGAAAAAAACAATGAAAGACCTCTGAAGTCCTCTCATTTCTCCTCTAGTTTCAAGGTCATTGCAACTTTGCATGCTAACTTGGGTCAATAATCTGCATCGTCATACCTGGTGTTCTGCATAACATACTCCCACTAACCAGTCACCATAACAGGAATAGCAGCAGGTTTGGTTGGAATAGTGAATGTTCAGTACAAAGTAGAGAAGGTAAACTGTCAAGCCACTTTGCGCAACTGAAAAGTTTCCGAACTACGAGTGGGTAGTATCTATGTATATATGTACTCTTTTCTTGGAAAACTCTACAGAAAAAGGTAGCACCGCGAATTCCGTAGGTAATATCCGTATCAAAGTACATATATACACCTGAAGAATGCGACGTAGTATTCCATTGATCTGCTAATTTCTCAAGGTGAAGGACAGCGAGAAAAGCGCAAAAACAGACATCCAATTGGTGCACAAGTGAGGTCACAATGAAGTTCAATATCTAGCTACCGAAGGAAGAACTTTGTCATTCAGATAGCTTGTATTATTTCACGTAAGCGTATTCAGTGGTATACATACTTCACGAATACAGACAATTTTCAAAGTTCCAATTGAATATATCGTTAGTAATGATAGAGACTGCAATATAACCGAAACAAGACATACCGGCTGTGGTGGACGTTGAAGCAGATGCAGCTGCGTCGATCTCAAAAGCAAGATCCGGAAGGTGCTCTCTCAAAAGCGGCAGATAATTACAGAGCAACTGACCTTCTGTCAGTTCTGCCTCCCTGGGCAGAATAAATTGCCTTTTTATCATATACGATAACAAGACATTCTTTCGATCAAAGTATCAAACTTGAAAGTTTCATCCACATGATAAGTGATTAAGTGTTTTAGTGTTTTACTCATATTAGAAAGCAGGAGATCCACTTACGTATTGAGCGTGCCTATTAGCAATAAAGTGCCCAGTTTAAAAAGAAGTCCCTTGAGTTCGCTTAATTTCCTTGATGATATCCAGAACTAGCTCATACACACCTCTTTGCTTTCTCGCGCCTTGCAGCCTTTTCTGCACTCTCCGCTTCAACATCCACACGCACAACTTCATATAAGTGGAAAAGCTCTCGTCCTGAACTGTCATCGTGTTCAGAATTTTCCTTTCGTCTTCGACTTTTTCGTACTTGTTCAAATCGAGCAGTCCTCGTAATATCCTGGTCCTGCACGAGTCAACGGATGAGCTCCAGTCCTAGCTAGTTCCAGTTCTGAAAACCCCCACTGGTGTATATTTATTAAGTATGAAGCTTAAGTGCAACATCACATCAGAGTGCGAGTGCTGTCTCGGATCTTCTTGGAGAACGGCCTCAGCGGCGAGCAAAAATGTGCAGACCTTGGTTTTCTTCGTTTGCCTGTTGTCACCCGCCTCCCGTGGTCGTTTTCTTTCTTTCACCTTCTGTAACACATTGAACGGATATCGCCAAGTTACTTTCCAGAAATACTGTTAGGAAAATTAGGAGAAATATTGTAAAGAGAAGTAGATTAAATACTGTAAGAAGGAGAAATCTGTAAGAGATACATCGTTCTACCCATTCTAACATATGATAGCATTCTAATCTACTCATTAGACGGAGGATAAATGAAAAACAAACAGCAAAGGAGAGTTTAAGCGTATAATTCCCTTAGAAAACCTCTAAGAACTTAACCTTCAAATGGGCTATTACCTCAAGTAGTTGAGGCAGCGAAAGTTCTTTGACTCCAGAAGAACTCAAACTTTCAACTCGTCGAAAGAGCAATTTCGTTGGTGCCGAGCCATCTACTCAAATGCAAACAAGATATGAACGATTAATAGGGTGGATCTCGACAGGTACAGACCTTGTACCCAGCTGAGAGGTGAAAGAAGGTTGTTTTGTAATGGAATGGATTTCCAAATCACTGAACTATGAAGACGACTTCGGCGTGTTTCTGAAGTACGCTCGAGAGTATGAACATCGAACCACTGCGTAGTAACTGACGCAAGTTTGCAAATACCAGCATCTAGGTAAGGGTGATAACCGAGAGACTACTGAGAAGTGCAGTGAACCCCGAAACCTCCAGATACATGAATTTTAAGCAGCATGACTTCAGTAAACCACTGAGCAAGAGTACACTACTTTTGCTACAATCCACTCATGTACAAGACACGAGTCAAGCCCGAAGGACTTGATTTTAGGGTGCGAGAAACAACCAGATATGTATTTATCAATGAGTTGACACTATGAGAAAAATGTTTCATGATACTCCAATATACTAACCTTCTAAGAAATGGACTCTTAAAATAATTGGAAATTCTATCTCGTCAACAACAATTGAATGCTCACTCACTCGACACATTTGATTACAGCTTACGTATATCGTCCGAAGATCATGTGGCAGTATAATTATACCTGGGGGATCAGCAGTAGAATCCAAAGACAAATCGCTGATGCCAGGTGTATGGCGCTTACTGGGCCTGGTAGTCACCTCTAACCCTGCATCGGACAGAACAATTAGTCTCCCAGCAACAACTTAATTCATACGCTGCCTAAGGTCGGCTTTTACCCACCACACATAAAATGCTTTCAAGTTGGAACACATCACACTGAAACAAATTCATACGATATTCTCAAAACGCAAAAAACTAGTCTGATTGAAACTTTCCATCACAGAGGTGAACCCGGTGAGTGAAAAAAGGCCGACGTAATCCTTCTTAACCGCAACAGAATGGAACGAGTGGAATGAACGGCTGAGTTCTTACAAAGAGATTCGATGGGCTCATCATTACGCTTCCTCTTGACTTGCACCACCGTTGGCTTCTCCGAAGACTTGCTGGCTACCTGAAAACAGAGAGAAAGAGACCTGAAATGGGACACTGACTATTTCACAGTGCTGCCAACCCCTACGATTGCCGTGCATCGAATTTCAAAATTCAAAGCACTGGCCGCTACTTTCGAACCATTCGCTCGTCGAATGCACACACAAAAAACGCAAAAAGTCCCTCGTACTCACTCAACAATTCAAATGACACTCCAACACTTACATCGATCTCCATGCCTTGATCTGCAGCGCACTTCAGGAAGAGAAAATATAACCTCGGAAGGGAATTCCGAAGCAGTGGCAGCTTCTCACCGGACGTCTCGAGAACTATCGACAAATTTCAAATCCAAGGATTGACGAGGCAGTCTCACGCAATCGAAGAGCTCGTTGCTCATTCACAGGGCGTCTGTCCTCGATCTGCGCGGGATGTTGTCTCATGTCCTAATGTCGGGAGTTGCCGTGACGGGATCTCCCGCGTGCTAACCAGAGTCAGAGAGGCGAGCAACCGCGGTTAGTAAATTCACTCGGTACAAGCTCCAGGAGTTCGAGTAGGGTTAGGGTTCGCGTGCGTGGTTTCGCAGTCGCTGGCGACTGCACCACTCGCCATGCCTTCCGACAGTGTGCCGATTCCTACTCTCTCATCTCCTGTAACTTTTTCGGAGTTCTGAGGCGTTCGCATCTTCTCCAGCATTTCCAATTCCAGGGCTTGGCTGATTCCTTCGCCCGTACGCGATGGTGCTGAAGTGAGTTCTGTTCTCTCCTGTTTCCTTTCTTTCGGCTCAGTCTGTCCCGTTTGTCACTGTCGTTGTAGTCATGCGGACAGTGCCGATGAAAGTGTTCTTGTCAAATTCCGGATGACTTGTAAGGGGTCATGGAAACCGGGGAATCGCAGGGAAGACGGAATGTCGAAATTCGCACTCTCTGTGAAACTATTTCATTTAAACTCCAATCACGAGGAAATTCTGCTTAAAATTAATCGGCAAGGTCTATGACATAACAAATTGTTCACGAGTTACAGATTATTCTCTGGGGTTATCAGGTCCAGTGCTTGAGCGATTAGATTGTTCCTTGAATTTTGGGTATTTGTGCAGTTTTCTTAGACCCTCAGTAAAGAGAGACACAATCCCTGCTGTCCATATCCCTCTGCAGACTCGGGCAGGTTGCAAACTGTCCACGTCAAGTTTGGATTGTGGATGAATTACTGGGACGATCCAGCTGAAATTGCTGGGCTTAGTTACTGGCGGTCTTCGATGGGTTAAAATGTCCTGTGACCGGCTGCAAGAGTCCAGCTCCTCCACCTTCTTGCTTTATCATCGAAATGCTGGGCACGTAATGTCATGACTGGATGAAGTGGATAATTATACATTCTGAGACTCTTGTAAGTTTCTCTTTAGCTGAATTCTTCGAAATCCGGGAACGTCTTCCAACAAAATCACTTTAGCCATCCAGCCCATCACTGAATCAATCAGGTTTCGGTGGGTAAACTTTCTGAGGAATGATTTGTTATCAGATGACGCTCAATTTCAATTCAAGTAATCGAATAATTACAGTGTGGTTGATACATCTGAGTCGGCGTACTCTCAATGCGGCACTCGGAAGTGGAATTTTGCTTCATTTGCTCATGCAGGACCGTAGTGACCGATCGTCAATGTCTGTGCGTGCAGGACGGAATTGTGCCGCTTTAGCGGTGCGAAAATATATCCTGGGAGGGGTATCAGATTCATCAGAAGTGATTCGCAGGTAGTTGGAGCAAGACTACACCAAAATTTTATGCAACGAGGCTGCAAATTGTCCTGACCCGCGTGGGTTGGAATTGAAGTTCAGTTGTACGATTTGGTAATTTCCGTGTTATTGTCAGGTATTTCTCTTCGTGAATTCGAAGTGCAAGCGGTACTTCCACAATCGTCTCAAACCAGCGAAGCTTACATGGACTTCTCTTTTCAGGAAGCAGCACAAGAAGGTCAGTAATTTTCATACTTTTCGTGTCGGAGGCATTCTTAACGTTGACAGTTTTACAATTCCCGTATTACAGAAGTTCTGAATACTAATCCCTCCCGGCCACCACTTTACTTCACAGGATCTCACGTCCGAAACCATTAAGAAGAAGAGAAGAACTTCTAGCAAGCCCTACTCCAGGTCTATTGTGGGCGCTTCGTTGGAGGTCATTCAGAAGAAGCGAACCGAGAAGACTGAAGTGCGTGCCGCTGCTCGTGAAGCTGCTCTCCGGTACGTGTTTTCGGTCCTCTGTGCTTTCTTTTGGTAATGTGAACATTCTTCGAGGACTTCCCTGTCAGGCTTCGGGTCTCCATTGTAGTCACCAGAGGAAACGACTTTGGTACTAACTTTTGTTTGCGGGTCGCAGTGAAATCAAGGAGAGAATGAAGAAGGCCAAAGACGAGATTAAGGCAAGGAAAGCAGAAGCTGTTGCTAAATTGTCGAAGGGAAGTAGCAAACCCGCAGCCCTGAGGTCTGCAGCTCCTAAAGCTAAGACTGCTGGCGCTGGTGGCAAGCGGTGAAACTTCCGCTTCAAGCTTCAAGGGAAGAACGACTACTCATTTTTTGATAGCTCGAGAGAAAGGAATAAGGGAGAAGCGAGAGTATGGACGCAGAGATTCGTCCTTTGCATAAGAGCGTCGCGAGCCTGTCAAGTTTAAAGATTCACCTCTAGAGCTGACACCGAAATCAATGCCAGGATTGGGCAGGATGCATAATGGGATAGCAGAGCGTTATTTATTTTCGTCATCGGTACTTGACAGGTCGCTGTGCGTGCACGTTGAGTTGACGAAAATAGAGATGTATGTAAGCTTTCTCTTACAAAGATTTGGGGCTGAGCGCTTTTTATGCTTACAATTGAGAATATTATGTAATGTATACTTGTTTGTACACACTTTCGACAATTTTTGCCACATGAAGACATTTTGTGTTTGACGATAATAGAAAGAAAAATGTTGAAAGTGGATTTGTAAGACGAGACATAAATACAATTAATGTATATCTATATTATTTTCATAACTTGCGGGGTAATATCATTTCATGGAATAGAAGCAAATGGTGTGCACAACATAGACAAAACCATAGTATCATTTCAGAATTTCATCATTTCGATGGTACAAAATACTGTGAACAAGGTTTACAGTGATACTCAATGCATGCTCAATACATGTCCAATCAATTTATTATGGAAGCTGGTAGTTCTCCCTCACCCTAGGTTAATGTACACTAGTTTTCCCCTTCTCCCCTTTTCGGAGCTCAAGTAAACATAGGGATAACTTTTACCAATCACTGAGCTATGTTCAGGAGGGTGAGGGTTACTAAGACCAAACTGAGGAATATCTAGCCTCCTCCCTTTATTATCTTCACTTCAATTTGTACAAAAAACTTGTCTATTACCGTGACAACAGTACTATATTTGACTGTCTACACAAGCACACACATCATATTGTACCTGCGTAGTATATGATGTGTGTACTTAGTCGCAAAGGGGAGCGTAACGGGACGGGTTTAGCTGCACAAACTTATACATAGCCCCTATATAGGGCTTGCATAGACCCAGGCAGGTGTCATCCTGCAGTGAGCCGTAACGGAAGTTCTTCTTTTCGCTCTGACTCTACTCCTTTGGACCAAAGATGGAAGAATGTGCGGGCAGACTAACCGGGCAGGTTTTTGATTGGCACTCAGTTTTCCGGTGGAGCATCAAAGTGACTGAAGTAGATCGCTCCGCTTTCCGACAGACGGATCTAGCGATGGACTATAAGAACATATGGGCATCCATCCGCACTCAACTATGAGGGAATCCCTATTCTCACAACCTGGTCGACGTCATACTGACGACCATAGTTTTTCACAGCAGAATTGTTCAACCGATGTTTGAAACTGTGTCGACCACCTTGAAAATGTTTCTCTTCGTGCTTTTCCCTTCTTCCCCTGCTACCTGAGCACATGAATCCACCGGAGAATGGACCGAATAGGCAAGTCACAATTCGCCAGTTAGTCTTTCTGAATCAAGACCTGAATCGACGTATCACTTTGAAGAGAGCAACTCGGCACATTGATAAAGTCGGTGTGGATGATCCAACAGCGATGGTTGACTATGCTAGAAAAAGGTCGTTTCAAACACGAGTCAGGGATAGGAGTAACATTCAAATTTTTTCTTGACTCGCTGGTTCAAAGTGCGCTGGTGATAGTTGGGGAACTCCGAGGAGAGATCTTCTTGCCGAGCAGGTGATATCTAGTACATTGGTTCACCCAATTGTGGAGTTCATGGTCTTCAAGTTTCGTGTTCAGTCCTCTACTTTCTAAATGCTGAAACCTTCAGCCTGTTTCTATCAAAGGGAAAGCACTCCTGAAATGTCCAGAAACGCGGACATTGTCACTCAGAAACTTTTGAGCTTCGATGTCTCCGGATGAATGAGAAGGGTTCTGTCTGATATGTTAACCTTCTAGGACTGACTTCGAGAGCCATATTTCTCAAGTTCTGTCATGGTGCTTCGAATTACATGGCCCGAGAACTGAAGTGCACCTTTGACTTGAGGTTCTCGGTTGGAATATAAATGCTCCTCTTGATAGCTTCTAGAGTTATTTGGATGTATCGTTGAATAGCCAGAGATCAGATAAACATATAATAGCGAGAGAGTTGAGATGTGGAGCTCCTTCAGTTTGGTTCATATTGCTGCGCAATACAAATTGTAAGCATGTCCTCATTCTGATCTAAACATTGGGTTACAGACAGGTCAGAATTATTGGTCGAGACAAGCCCGCACGATTTACATTCTCTCATTCTCAAGACTCAAATTCTATTTTCTTCCGTATTTTTTCAAAACTTTATTTTTTGAGGATGATAAGTACCCTCTCATCTCCGAGTTGTCGAATGTGCCCATGAGCCTCATCAGGGAGCAGCTATCAAAGTCAGCAAACCGGAATTTAGAGAAGAACGAGAGACATATTTGTCCTAAGTTCAGGTGAATTATTTAAAACTCAAATGACACATGAAAAATTTCTGATATATAATAGGCAGACGTATTCTGCAAAGCTACTCTTATGGAACTTCTGCCAGGTTTTGAGTACATCGTCTGATAACTGGCAACTTCTGTCGGATGAGACAAAACCTGTATTTGGAACTCGCCACCCTTTTGGCTATTACAAGCCTCTGTCGAATCAGTCCTCACTACTCTCCGTACTTACTATCCAAGGTCTAACTTGATTCACTCAAGCATGCAGTAAGTTCACACAACACACCTATGACCAGAAATCTTACAGCAGATGCTTCTGCTGACTTTATTTATGTCGTCAGATATACACATGGTTCTGTGATGTAGTGTTTAGTGTGATACTACATTGAGTTCGAGAATAATTCTCCAAATTCTGACAAAAGTACTGTATACGTCTTCCTGTTTTCGTCATGAGAGTTCTCAAGGAATATAAACAGCATAATTTGGAGGTGTTCTCTCTCATTTGCAGTTGCAAGGGTTGCATGAGCACTTGTCACCTCACTTGCATCCTTCGTTGGCACCCTCAAAGCTGTATCAAAAAAAACAAAATTATAATCAGATATTGATCGACCGTATTAAAATCCAAGAACGGTGATTTTATGAATGTAACGCCATGAGTACATAAGCCACCATACATGTTTACAGGTTAATCAAGCATGAATTGCAAACATGTGTCCAATATATAGAAACCGGCGGGATGATAAGTACCCTATCATCTCTGAGTTGTCGAATATATCCATGGACCTCATCGGGCAGCAGCTATCAAAGTCAGCAAACCGGAATTTAGAGAAGAACGAGAGACATATTTGTCCTAAGTTCAGGTGAATTATGTAAAACTCAAATGACTCATGAAAAATTTCTGATATATAATAGACAGACGTATTCTGCAGAGCTACTCTGATGGAACTTCTGCCAGCTTTTGAGTACATCGTCTGATAACTGGCAACTTCTGTCGGATGAGACAAAACCTGAAATCGAGGCGAATTACATATCTCGTGCGAAATCTACTTATAGAAATGGTCAGCTGCACCATCAGAGAACAAACAGATGCAAAGGATGGAGGGAGGGGAGCAGACACTTATGGCGTTGAGAGCTTGTGAGAATTCAAGTTCAGCACAAACAAAAATTCCCAAAGTCTCTTAAACACATGCATTCAATGTAACATAAATTAAGCATAACACCTGAATTCTACAATTAGGAACTATTGTCACAACGACTTTGTCCACTTCAGAATTCAGGTCAAGTCACTCAGTGTAGCTTTCAACCAGAAGCCAGTCTCAAGTTTAATGGTGCTCTACTTCACTGCCAACTAGAACCAAAAATCACAGCAGCAAGACTTCAGCATATAACTTGGATACTTTGCTCCATGGTCAAAAAGCTGAAATGTACATGTGCAAATCAGCTACCACTTCTTTCGAGCTACATTGGAGCCTATCTAGGTAGAGTGGAAAAAAAAACAGGTCTGAAAATTGCCATTGAAGACTTTTGTAAGTGAAACTAACCAGTATCGAAGTCCACGTACGACTTTCAATTCATCACCATATGTTAGCACGTCGTGTCCTCTCACCAAGTGTCCTCACCTTTTCAAGCCAACTCAATTTCCTGAATGATGAGCTAGGCTTATCTAGCATGGATGTACGCCACATGTCTGCAACAGGAAGTATTCTACCAGTACTCCATGCTTGGTGAGACTCCTTGATACGTCCAATGCAATGCCTGAGCTCTAGCTCTCCCACTTTCAGCATACTAGGATTTTCATCAAAAAAGTCCTTCAGCCATACCAATTGAGTATGAAGAACACGCTTGATCTTTTCTTCCTCCTCCAGATCTGTTGGCTTTGATGCTTTCTTTACAGGGCTGTCCGTATCTGATAACACATAGAACATGTACGGCTAGGTAGTTTCATCACTCAAACTGTCATTTCTGCAAAATATATGCAGTTATTGCACATTAAACTGACAGTTTGAAGTACCTTCTGTAAGGTTGAAGGTGTCATGGCAATCATCTTTGACTTCAATATCTGCAAGTTCTCTTCGAAGGACTGGATCCTCATTGAAATCATATATCTGTGATGAAGGACCTTTATCAAAGAGCTCTTTGATTCCACCTCGTATTCCACCAAACCGTATGCCCAAACAAATGCGGATGTTGGTCTCGGAATATCCTTTCCTTCGTAGAATAAGAATCTAGACACACATGAATCAAGCAGTGTTAATAAAAAATACCGATACGACCAATATATGCAATCAAAAACAGAATTACAATCTGAGTTGTACATGATGTTTGCAAAAGTTGCCTTGGAGTGACCAGAAGCACTCGCATGCATACTTTTCTCGTCTCCAATTTACAAGATACCTTCTATTTAGCTTTGATGTAGAGCCCACTAATGCGGGGCCTGCATAGCCATGAGGCCAAGTAACAGGGACAGTTAGCATAGATCTTGTCTTCATGATCACAGCAATCACACGTTGATCTTTCTTCTTATTTGGAATAAAGCCAAGTAGCTTCTTCTGATCTTTGTACCAAATTCTCATTACAAAATCCCCTAGCAGACCATATACTGTATGATCCAAACGTTGCTCATGTGCATTCCTGCGCCAGCCATAAAGGAAATCCTTCATGTGTCCATGCATTGATTCCATAGCGTTGTTGGTATCTTGATTGTTACGACATGTCTTCCTCCGTTCATCACGAATCCACTGACCTGAATTCCAAAACAGTAAGTTAGATGTGCTTGTGGAAGTTCATTAAGCAAAAAACAACTTCCAAAATGTAATAACTTCAAATATAATGCACATGTTACAAACTTACACTTACCCATACAAGGTTCCCATTCTGTTTGAAAGTATTTCACAAATTGTGGCTCAGAGAGCTGAAATTTTTTGTAAAATAACAGAAGCTTCATCGCAGCAGATCTTTCCACATCAAATTCTTCTCCATCAGCAATTAATGTGCTTCCAAAGCACAGGTCTTCTAAAGCAGCATTCATAATAGCTCTCTTTTCATGACCACTCACAACCTCAATCAATTTCTTTGTCCATGCTTTTCGAACATGATATATGCAAAGAAATACAGGGATATGCGGAAAAACAATGTCTAGGGCAAGTCTCTCATTGTCAGCACAATCCGTCATGAAGCACGAGGGCATCCATCCAGGGATATAATGTTGGGCCATCTTCTTCACTGCAGATAATAAATCCACCAGATCTTCTGTTTCTTCTTTTTCGAGGAATCCAAAAACAGTAGGATGTCCGTGTTCATATTCGTCAAACACCATCAGGGTGTACAGTGGATACTGCATTGCAAAAAATGAAATAAACGTATCAGTTTGCTGCTAGCAATCGTCTACAAAGTATTCATCTTCATTGATACTAAGCTAAACCTGATACAAATGAATGATTCGCTATTTTTATGTCTTGATAATTTAGACGTGATCAAGGTATATAAAACAACATATACATCACACATTGAGACGTTCAATAATCTCTTACAGGATTGGTTAAAGCTCCAAACCGTCATTTTTTCAAATATCTTGCAGAGATTGCAAATAGTAAGGTAGAATATACATAATCATGGAAGCTTGATGATAAAAACATCAAAATGTGGTAGTAGAATATTACCTTATACTTCTGCGTGCCATGCGTTCCATCTATAGCAACACAACCTCCATTTCCATGTTTTAGCAACCAATCTAGGAGCAAGGGTCTTGTAACAGCAAGCCTCAATGGTTTAAATGGATCACTTTTTGGTGCCTGATACAAAACAACTTGAGATGAATTCGCTTTCATCCATAATTCTATGCTAATTCTATCATTAGCATGCCTTCTCCAAGTTTCTTTGTCCAGTTCCAATTTGATATTATACACATCGGCAGATGTGATATAAAGATCTCTAATAGGGGACCCTTGCACATAGCCTAAGCGCTGATGATTTTCAAACAGTGCTTTTGCAGCACGCATGAGAATTTGTGGAGGAGTTAAACATCTTCTTAACTCGCATTTAACCCACTCCCTGGCATAAGAACGTAGAAAATATTAGACAACGTGCTTGCTTAGTGTCAAAGTTTTACAAACTGTAATAACAACAAACTTATTGTAGATATTACAAATATGACGGGAGATTGACTGTGAACGATAAACAAATATATTGAAAATGTAACAAATATGCCGTTACCTGCATTCAGAGGATAAATTGCGCGCCATTTGAGATGGCAAGCCAACACTATCTGAACACGCTTTGCCATGACAAGCTACACCTGCAGCATTTACGTGTCTTCTATGCTTGTATATCAATTTTGTGATTCCTGGTGGAATGTGATCATTAGACAACAGATTAATGGCACTAAACCTGCACTAACAACCCTTGTGATGCGAATCATGATCTAGTCTATCCCTGCTGCCAGGACCAAATTTTGCCTTCGTTGATGGATCTTGAATAAAATTCGAGGAAATCATACTCTTCTTGCCCCTTTCTGGAGTACCATACTTGCAATAATACATTGCATACGATTCCCAATTGTGCCTAGTACCTCCACCCTTGTATGAGCAACGTGTCACAAATTCTGTCTTCGCATCACTATGACAAGATCCTTCTCTCGAAACAAAATCGTGAAGCCTCGAGCTTTTGATGTAGGCCGTCCCATTTGACCAATTCAACATTAATGAATTGAAAGGGCCTTCATAAGGTGGGTCCTGCACAATCCATCCTGCCTCCATGCTGTCACCACACCTACAAAAGCACCTGAAATGACAAGAAAAGTACAAGCACGAGCTCTGGCACGAGCTCCTCAAAGCACTGACACTGGCACCCAAAAGCGACGTCAAAACGACGAGCTGGAGAATATTGATGTGATTCTATTTTCAAAAACCCTAATCTTTGCCGCTTAAAATTTCGTCGCCTCAATTTCTTATCATCGTTTCATTACAAATATTACAGTCTGAATATTAGGGATTCCATCTGAGCTATCACTCTTGCAGTTCAATTTTAGTTCTTTTTCCCGCAACGTTCCACGACACGACTGCGATCATTGTTGCGGCGTAGATCATTGCAACGCACTACATACAACGTTGCGGCCTCTACATGGTTGCCGCAAAGTGCCCTCCCCGTTCCCTCCCCGCAAAGTACCCCGCCTCCCCGTTCCCAAAACTGAGATAAAATCCGGCTGATCCGGGGCAGCCCGAAGGGAGAATGAAGAAAGAAAGAAAGAGGAGAAAGAAACTAGGATCCCTGACACCTGGCAGTACGGCCGTTTGTAAAAGTTTGTGCAACTAAGCGAGTCGAGCGTAACGGTGGGATCTCCGAATAAAACTGCGGACTGGTAATCACGATTCCATATTCTTCGTACGCTCCGCAGGTCTAAAATCGTCGACAGCCATAAGAAAAAACTATTCATGGTAAAAAACTACACACAATATCAAACTGATCATCCATCCAAATTTGAAAACATAGCCGGACCATGAAAAGGGCAAGATATGTTGCAGATCTACAACGCTGAGGATCACCTTCTAGAATCTGAACATATGTAATCCGAACCTTCATCCATCCCCGAGAACCGTCATTCGTAAGAAGCCAGTCACGAAAAACAATCGTAAGACAGATATTATGAAAACTCCCTTGGGCATCATGCTCTCGGGGAATAGAAGGCAGGAGATACACCACCCAGTTCTCTATTGGAATGGTACGCATTATCCCATAGACCTACACTTAAACAGGTCGTACTGATTGGTGGATCAGAAGCTATATTTTACAGTGTGTCAATGCCAAGTTCCGATCACACTATACCGTAATGAAGATAACGAAGTCACAAGGCTTTAAAATGACATCCTCAGTGTACAAAAACCTGGAACTATCCACGTTCAACACACCTACCGAGGTTTAAGACATTTCGACTGATTAAAGTCAAGGTTAGCTCACACCGAAGCTTAATCTTACAAGACCAAGAATATGATGGCTCCCTGACAAATGTGAGGAAGCCTCATCTTTGGATCCACTCATTTTGACGGTTTCCTGTTTCATCTACCTCGATGAAGATGCTTACAGCCTGCGGAGTCCAACAATTCAACAATGCGCCAGGTCAGGTACAAGCTACAAAATAATGGAAGAATGAGATATCCTGGCACATTGTCTAGATGAGGCTGGTTACAGTCGACAAAGGCCTCTGCCATCACTTTTCTCATGATAAAGGGTGACCTTCCATCTCAAGTCTTGACATCCTGAACAATTACCTTTCCGATACGAGGTCTCTCTCTGGTTTTCTCCAAGCTGTCTCGAACGTATGAAACGGCACCCCATCCCCTTAGGTTCTGGGCAATATAATCTAAATGTAACAGATACTCCTCTTCTGTAAGTGGAAATGATCTCTGCACAAACCCAACAGTTCGGGTGAGTATGGTCTGTTGCGAAAAAAGGGGCAGTGAATTTATTAGAAGTCAGACATAGATGGGTCTCGGACCATCAGTGTCCATGACATTGGATGACATTAACAGCATTCTTCATTTGAGTGACAACATGCTCGAGCTAATCTTCCAAGTACGCTGATTGAAAGTATGAAAGTAAAGATGGGCCCACCTGTTCGCGGTACTTCCACATGACATTCATGGCGAGTAATTGTCGTCCCAAAAATTCCTGAAGAACATCATTCGAATATCAATATTAGCCACCTCTGATCTGAACACGATTTGCGGTATTGCTACTACAGGCGACCAGCAGAGTAGGATCAACTCGCTGGCTCAAGAATGGTTCCAGATAACTTCTTGTTGAATTTCATACCATGCTCCTAGTTTTGAATCGAAAGAGTTCACTGGCTCATCGAAGTGACAAAAGTAATTCAAAATCCAGCTAAAGTTCATGATGACTTTCTCCAATTTCAGAGAAACGCAGCTCAATAAGAATAAATCCCAATGTTCGGCGAAGTCACGAACTGGACTTACCTTTTTAACAAGTTGGACATCGTATGATCTCCCATACTTTTGTCTGATCAGAGTAGCTAAATCCTTTCCTTCAAATCTGTCATCGTGGCTGCTCAACATTCGCTCCATTTGCTTTCGAAACTGCTCAGGGTCCACCTGCGTGGATTCGAGAACGTGGGAAAGTCAGCACAGCAGGCACAACGGGTAACTCTTTGGTCCTTCCGACCAGCATCATCGAACAGAATTCACGAGCACTCGCACGACGGTTAAAACGTCTTTCGTGAAAATCAAATCCGGTTTATGTACACTAAAAGTTTGACCCGGCGGAAGGAGATTTATAAACCATACATCACTAGAAGATTCACCATCGGTATCTTCAGGCTCATCCTTTCCAATCGCTGCACAAATGGAGTTCGACTTAAACTTTCTCACTGACTGCCTGTTTCCTGGTCTCTGAAATTGCAAAGCTTTCGTTGGAGCCAGCCACCTCGAAGAAGAAAACTCTTGGTCATTGCTCGTTCTCTTCCCATTCTCTGGTCGCAGATCACCTCCGGCATTTCTTCCAGTGACTTTTAGGGAGCACGGTAGGCTGCTGGCAAGTAATGCAGCCATCTCTTCGGAGTCGAAATCAGCTGGAAGAAATCAGACAGGAAAATACCGACTGCCATCAACACCCGAGCAAAACAGAGAAGAATAACTCGGAGCTTTGCAGAGCTTGTGTTGGAAGGTTGAAATTAATTTTCTTCGTGAAACGCGAATTCGGAAATTCAAATAGGCAAAATCCGGCAGGTTCTTTTATAAGTACAGGGTACAGAATAATGTCACGAGCTTCACATGACATTTAGAATGCTATGATGAGGAACTTTTAGGACGATCAATGAGCACGCTCCAAGCAGACGAAAGATAGATGTAGGGAAAATTGGCCAACACACAGTGACGCTTTCAGTGTAAAGCGTGACATCGTTGGGGCTGTGCCTGTATTCCGACTCTTCAACCCCAAGCGAATTTCATTACCAAACTACAAGACTTTTGAACCCTCATATGACTTAAGAGAATCCAGAAGACGAAATTACGCCTTGAGTATGAAATCTCTGTCATCCCCAGCACCCGCCATCTCCAGGTCATCAAGACTATGTAGCCTCTTAATGCCATAAGTAGAAAGGGGGTATGGAGTCCAAAAAGTTCGCAAATCTAGCTAATTACATGTAGTTTCATGAGCAATTCCTAGTTAGAAGTAGGTTGTAGACTCTGCGGAAAATAGAATGATAATCTCGCCCTGAAAACCAAGCTCTTGGATAAGCACAGTAAAGCAAACGAGATCCTTGGCGCAATTTCTGTGTAAGATTGAGACCATGCGATTCCAGGGTTTTCATTCCCTAGCTGAAGGCCTTGGATATGGACGAATCGGTAAATACAAACAGGAGACTGTATATTCTTAGCAGGTGGACGAGATATGAGACTTTGTCAATTAGAGACGGATTTTGTGAACTAGGAATCGATATGCATATTATCGGCGCAACTGGAGCGCGAAATTCTCACCTTAGTAGGCGTTCGTGCGTGGACTCAGGATTCAGAAGAGTTCAGAGCGAGTTAAGAGCCTCCGACGACACACTGATGTCGATTTCAGACGTGAACTTACATGTCAATGGGCCTCCCCAAATTCATGGCAACAGTGACTCCGCATGTTCTGCCGGCCACACTGCCCAGCCAGCACCCACGGTGCTCCACTCGGTGCTTGTTCCTTGCAAGGAACAAACGCAGAATGAAAGGCCGGGGCTTTCAGCAGTTGCGGCCTGTCAGTCATGCAGTCAGTCGGTCTCTAGCGAGGATGAACTCAGCCTCCTCCTAGATTCCGCCAAAAGTCTACCACAGAAAGTTTGGTTTCGTTCCACTTCCAGGATGCAGAAGGCATCTGGATGGGGCTGCTGCCTCCTTTTCTGGAAGGGAGAGGCAGAGACACACACCAGGAGGTGAAACCATGTAAAACTGCTCTCATTGCTTACCATGAGCAAAGCGCCAAAGCAAGATAAGAAGGGTCTACGTGCACAGCACTCGTTCACTGGAGTACACGCTTTCTCCCCGTCGTTATTCCCTCTCTTGGAAGCTCGGCTGTGATAGTCAGCTCAAGCCCTCGAACTCCCGAAGGTCTGTTACTGCACGCTTCTGGCAACCGGACCCACTCTTTGAGGCTCACCAGATCCACCGAAGTTCTGGCTACACAGAGGCCTCCCTCCAGGTTCAGATGGAAGCTGGAAACTAATCAGTATTCAGAGAAATGTGAAGGGGAGATTGTAAACTCTACTGCCATCTATGATTTGGCGGTCCTTTCTTCAAGCTCGTGCAAAAATCAGATAAAGTGCCATTCTCATTGTCAGACTTTGTGAGATTTTAGACTGAGATCTCGTCGTCTTGGTAATGGGTGATTACTGCGAGTTTTAACGGTGTGTGTAAACCGTGCCGACATTGCGGGGTAATTAGAGCTTACGAGTCAGCCGCCACGGGGTTAGAATTACCGAGGGGGAAGAAGAAAGATCCGTGGCCAGTAGGATATGATGGAGATGACACGTGGTACGTCAAGCGCCAGACAAATCTCGAAAGTGGACAAGTTTCGAAGGAAGTCCACGTAAGATGCTCCAAGTCAGCAGTCCCACGTGGAGATTGCGTGTAGCACGTCAGTGACGCGTTGTTTGCGCTTTGGGGACGTGCGACTAAGCACTGGCTCGTAAGCCCTCAACACAAGAGAGAAAGGCGGCGCGCGTCGCGGACGTGCTACATTGGCAGCGTCCGTATGGTATTTTTGATCTGTAGGTGCTTACATGGCAGCCTGCTCGCTCGTCCATGCTGATGGATTACAACGTTGCACGGTACGCACCACTACACTTAAGATTTAATCACTCTGAAAAGAGCTAATCTCAAAATTTGGGGAAAAGTGGAATTTCAGTTGAGTCAAGCTTGGCATTCCACGATACTATTATGATATCAATGAAAACACATTCTCGAAAACTCGTTTGTCTAGTCGAGCTCGATATATACATATATTGTGAGGAGAATGATAAGTAATGAATTAAACAGTGGAGAACATAAAAAACGGAAATAGAAGTATACAGCAATTTCATATTCTAAATTGTCACACTTTGGTTACAATCACGTTTAGATTAGTTACAACTCTGTCATTTCATGAACCAAAAGAAAAAAGATACAATAATACCTTTCCAATATTTTAGCAAAGTTGAGAGAAATTCTAAAACATTTACCTAAAGAATTTGAGTATGTTGAAATGATAAATAAATTAAGATGAAAATTTTTAAAAAAAATTAGTTTTGATATAAATTTATGTCTCTTTGGGAAAAAATATTTTTCTTCAAGTTTATCAGTACTTAGTAAGTACTGAATGAGGATTAAGTACTACTTAATCCTCCTTTTGAAAGTTTTTAAAATTAAAAGTTTGAGACAATTCATAAAAATTGCTAATTTTTATGATTTTTCAGTTTGAGAGTAAGTACTAAGTGTACTTACTCTCAAGTTGAAATTTAACTTGGCCAACTTATAACTTTCAGACTCTCAATCCATGTTGACTCATTGTTTCCCTACAGAACTAATCAGAAACAGATCTACAACATATATCTACTATTATAGTAAGTGTGGAGTTCTAGCACATGAGGCGAAATAGGTATTCGCGGTTTGCAACCGCTACTTTCGAGTGAAACATAATACCTTTGGAAGGCCAGGCCGTATGAAACAAGCAGTTTGCAAGCCTCGTTTCGGACCTATGTGTACAGTTTCTTGCTCTCATCATCTCAAACTTGAGCAGAAGTACATGTCTCGAAACCTTTAGAGTGTCAGTTTGCCTGATTTGCAGGAGGCCTGCTGCACAAATTTCGCCGTCGCATGCAAAGCAGGGTTGCGTGGAATACGAGATTAATCCGCGATAATCCTAAAGCAGATAGTAAAGCTCGTCTGAATCTCGGAGCCCGCGTGCCCAAGTAAGGTACAATCGGGACTTGAACTGTAACGAAACTCTTAAAGGACTACTCCGCGATTGATTTGTGCGTCACTGATCTTTGGAACACATTATAATATACGTTGTAAAAACCAACAATGCCCAGCTTGTCGCCGCTCACTCAAACTGTGGCGCTACAGAGGTATCTTGATTGGCAACATGATCAACTCTCCATTTTTGCAGTCATTTCAATAACATCCGATATTTTCAACCAATATCTCAAACTGCGAAATGAAAGTTCCGTATAACCAATCTGTGAACCACTTCACTGCACTCGAGGCATTAACCGTAACGAGAAGAGGTACTAAGCCAAAGTGTATGCCAGGTTAAGTTAAAGGAAGTCCAATGTACATCATCCGGCCGTGGGTCAGTAGAATAATATACAAATATTTGGACATGAAACTCAATTGAGTCAACACAAATTGAAGACAATTGAAATATATCGAGACTTGGAACCTAAAAAATGCACATGTGTCAGATGTCGCTGTCCATGCCACAATGGACGACTTCGTTTTGTTCGTTCCAACCGTACTTATTCCGTTTGAAGGACAAATAATACTGAAACTCTATCTTCTTCTGTTTCATTCAATGGGCAGTTGAACTGCACTCCTTAAGATCGAACCGTAGCGCATATATGTTGTCGCTTACTCACTCTCGGGCTGCAAACTGGAAACTGCAGCAAGTGAGCTGTGTCGATACTTGATGGTTGGAACATGAATGCAGTACCAGATCTACCTTCTTTGTACACAAATAGGCAGTACATCCGCGTGTATCCTTCACCTCTATGCTACATCTGCATTTTAAATTACTCCGCACTTCAGGTCATGCCTAAGAGGAAAAGGGACTCTTGATCGACATGTGACGAAAAATTGACCTAAAGCCAGTAAAGTAACCTCCGAGTCTGATAAGGCTCGCAATGTCTCCAGATTTCCACCTCGCAGACTGAAGAAGGCTTGTAACGAACCATCGTAATGACGCACAGGAAACCCCGTCGACTTATATGGCAGCTCTGAGAGCCCCTTGAGCAGCCTGCCTCTTCATTTCTGCGGCCTTTCCTGAACCCCTGAAATAACTGTAGACTTCCTGTAGGCCGTAGCAATCAAGAGTCAGCATTCAGTGTTCACTAAACGCTCGAAAAGCGGCGTTTGTGACCTTCTCCACCCATCCAATCAAGCCTTGCAAGACGACAGTACCATTGATTCAATTTCAATAATAAACATGAATGGCGTGCGACACTCACCGTGAGAACATACACACTGAGAAGGACTTCCAGAGTGAATAAAATAAACCCTATCATGTATAAGATCTGGCAACAGGTACCCGGCAGATTGTGTCAGCGCACAGCGGAACAAGTCTGTAAAATATCAAAAATCGACATTCCATCCTATGGACAAGATCCCAGAACAAGATTCTTCAATGGGAAAGTCACTTTTGAACCAATAAAAACTCGTCGAGACATCATATCTATATCCATTTTCAACCAGCTAAGGACAACATGATGATTGACATGATGAAGGATGAAAGAAGCAATTGAAAATACCAAACTTCATACTTTTCAGAGATGTGCAATAACACTTTCTGGAACAACAAAAAAAGGTGAGAAGTGACATACCCCGATGACGGTGCTATCTCCGAAGATCGACAGAGTGGGCAATATTCCTCTGAAAGACCAGGCCAGCGCATCAGCTTTATTTTTTGCTAAAAACACTGAAGAGGGCGTGCCCAGCTTGCACAAACTAACTACCTAGGTGAGAAAAACCTGCTCGTACACTCGTACGGTCGACACATATGATGTTATGTCCAATCCTTGAGATATTCACACACATGTGCATAGTTCAACTTATTGAGGACTTACGCAAGTGATTTTCCCTTGAAAACGATGGGAGGAGCGACAGCAGCAAGCGTGCAGAAGGCAATATGGAGCTGATCCATAAACAACGTTATCAGCATTGATAGAAAGTTGCAAGTTAATTTGTTCTCATGACAGCAAGAAATGAGTGGCACATAGACGAGGACGAAATTAGGATATGGATAAACTAAAAGGAAAATCTGCTGCAACAAAAGACAACATACGAGTTAGATACTTTACCACGTAGAAAATAAAAAACCAGCCGAATTTCAGGGCGCTCTCAGTCCTGATATATCAAACGACAGCAAAGGCTTCATCAGCGGAGTCATAAGACCAAACTGGTGTTGGGATGGTGGGGAGGGTTGGTTTACACGATAACAAAACTTATTCAACAAAATAAATATGAACGCAAAAATAATACCTCATAGCACGGTACACAGGCCGATACCACAGGAAATATGAGCCGGGGAACCCGGCCAGAATGTAGATGATGGCAAGGAACCATATCTGCACACCTGTGTACCAGTGACTTAAGAGCGTAAGCACAAAGCACATTGCAAGAAAAAGTCACACATCGAATCATAAAACTGCTGTCGTCACGGCACGACAAAGACGTATCGCAAAGAGCAAAACTGTCACTCCTTTCCTATGATCAGATATAGGAACAACTCACCATAGGCAGCAGTAACCGACCCCTTTGCCCACGCCGCAGTTACGGCAATAAAGTTCCAAGTTAAACACAAGAGCATACCTGTAGAGAACGTTCATTACGTTAGGCAAACACTCACCACCTGCTGTGTAACAGAACCTTAAGTCCATGCACCACTCACAGTAACAAATTTCCACGTCAGAACCAAGAGCAAACCTGTACTATAGTTATCTAGAACAATAAAGACTCCTAAAACTAAGGTTCGTTAATCAAAGTGTGGTTCATCGCCGATACAGGTGAGCCTCCACGCCAAGAGAAAACTGAGTTAGCATGTAGGGCCGAAAAAAAAGTGTTCATGCAACTAAGTTTCAACGATCCCATTAGATTAATTCCTAGACAATAACTGTCCCGTTATAATAACAGAAGAGCAAGACATTCTACGCGTACTATGTGAACTGCGTACTTCCTAGCCGGCATTGGCTTCAAAAAAAACAAATTATCTTACCTTCGAGAGGTACACAAGACTTACATACAAAGATGCGGTATGAAACGTACAATAAACCTGACGGTTCATAGCATTCAAAAAGGAAGGAAGACATATGCGCAAAATCATACCGAGCCAGCTCGCATAGGCGAAGTACTGAATGCGCTGCAAGTGAAGTGGAATATCTCTGGGGATATCGTGATGAAGAAACGGCAAGAAAGGGGGCCAATTCTTGTCCTCGATCAAGATACCAGCTGTGCAACAAACACACAATGTTCATAAATATTAATACTTCGATACGAACCTGTCGATCGACTATCACGCGAAAGAACATTGAAAATTTGCAGTTCTGACGTCAGTAAAATAATTAGAGTTTAACCCCGTATCGACATTGCTAGGTACGATGCAAAAACCACTGTATTAGCTTCTCTACCAATCAGCAGCTAGCCCGCTGGCTGTTCACAGATTTACCACGACAGGCGCATGAGACAAGGCGACCTGCTTAGACGACTTCAACGAAATAACGGAGTCAATACCTCTGGCTGCAGCTTCTTCCCGTCGCTTCAGTTCCTGTTATAATGCACCATTCACCAAAACGCGACCTCAGAAAGTCGAAGTTCCGATCGATTTAATTCTACAGATTACGGGAAGAATAAATGGCGCTATACAGAAGAGGGTCATGACTCGATCCATGACAGGCAAACTCTGTAAGATGAAGCGTGATATTTGATATCAGAATTTTACTTATTTAAAAGTCGCCCAACTGAAAGGTTCTTCCATATCCGAACTATTACCTGCTCCTTCTTTCTCAGCTCGTCTTCTCTTTGCTTCAATTCTCTCTCCTTTTTCTTCAGTTCCTGATATGTGCAGAAACGATAACAGAGTGGAACAGCTCAGTCAGGCAAAAGTTGTATTGACAATATCAGGTTACAAATGGAAGTCCGAATCGACTTACTGGAAGATTGCTTCAATCAAGTAGATGGGGCAAACTTACTTTTGCTCCACCGAGAGGAATATCCACTGTAGCATCGCTTGCATTCAATGGTTCAGGCGGGAGAGGAGAGAGACCCCTTGAATTGGCCTGCGGCACGCTGTTTTGTTGCTGCAACGAACGTCAACAATATCGAGTCCGAAGTGTATCAGTCACACTTCGATTTTGTTTCCACCGCTGAATTGAGGTCAGTAGAGTACACTGCTAAGAGCGAACGCGATAAACTCGTCCTTAGCATCTACAGAAGGCTTACATGCTAAAGAGCACAATGATTTACAGATAGGCGCCCAAGTTTTCGAACCAAGTTTATCACGGATGTCACGTCGATGTCAGGACCTTCATATTGGAAGAAAAAGGATTCAAAAGTATCCCTGACTGTAAATATTAATAATTGAATACCATCCAAAATCCAAGACAGTTCAATAGAATAAATCCAAGTCACCATTTCCTTGTTTGCCCGAGATGTCTCTCGGGTACACTGACGAACCTGCGTGCTAAAGAATTGATTGCAAAATCTGAAACGCCCTGTAGAACAGTAGCCAAAGTATCGTCTGAAACCATTGTTAATATTGAATACTAGAAAATGTCCGCGAGCGACTAGAATGTGTTTCTTTAGAAAACAAGGTGGACCGAACGTAGAGTAATCAACTAGCTGAGCACTGCAGCCCATCGCCAAGCAAGTACGATTTGGAATAGCCATGTAGAACTGCTACTCGCGAATATGCATGCCCAGATGGTATCTCATCACAAGATGCACAAGTATTACCTTATCATAATATGATCCGCCATAGTTGGTATTTTTGTTTGCCGCTTGAGCTCGTACAACTGGATCCTGTAGAGCAGGAAGCAAATATCGTCAATCAACAGAGAAAAACCTGGACTATTTATTACTTTTAAAGTTTCTCCACTAAACGACTGAGCTGGATAGGCCCTTCGGTACAGGAAAAACTTGCTGCTAAAAACCGATACTGCGTAACCATGAAACCAGAGCTATGCCGGCTTCTTCTCCCCTCGACTGTAATGCGAATAACCCTAACCAGACCCTTCAATCCGCAGATCTGTCGTTACAATGAGCATGGACCAGAGGTAATGCCTCTACGTGAAGCACCGGAAACCTTCAAACCCAAGAAAAAGTATACCCCATTGACTCCTCGAGGAATTGGCAGCGCTACAACCCTTTCCTAAAGCAGCGTGAAAAAAACCGGGCGAGGTGCCGCAGCCCGTCCTCCATTAATGTCGCAATAAGTAAATGGTCCACATCCGCCCTAGGACAAGCCCCAAATCGAACAACTGCCGCTGCTGAGGATCCTCAACATGGCTCTGTGCCCCTCTCCTCATATCAATGCAGCAACGAGCCGATCTATGCTCTTGCGATTGTCCCTGGGCGCGTGGACCAAGAATGGAGTGGATCTACAAGTCTAAAACTATTTTCGAGCAGGAAAGTGTACACCAACTTACAGAGAAAGGGTTCACTTCGTCTTCCACATCAAACGGATTACTGTCGTACCGTCCCGCCATCTGGAATCAGCTCCAACTCTCAGCAGGATTCGACGAGCAATAAACTCAAGAACCACACGTCCTCGGATTTTCTACCGTCGGTGTGGGATGGGTGCTGCGGCACCTCTCGCTCCTCTCGGGCAAACGCTCGAGCAGCACCTACACCACCACACCTCCTTCCAACACGAGCACTTCGTCCCCTACTACTCTTTGGCCACCTCCTGCCCTCCTCTCCTCCTCCTCCTCCTCTTCCTCTTCCTCCCTCCTCTCTGCCTGCAGAATTCCCAACACTCTTCCGGCAAGCGACCTCGGCACAGGAATGAAACAGATCGAAAAGTAAAACCGAGCGATCTCCACAACTCTCACGATGCATTCACCAACCCCTCACTCCCGCTGAGCCCCGCACAACCCCGTCCCGGCCCGCGACCCCCGGCCCGCTCCCTCCACGCGCAGCACTTACCACAGCCTACTCCTCTCACCACATTCCCCACTGCCCAGATTCCCAGCCCGGCCCGGCCCGGCCCGACAATCACGCCACTCGCGCTCCCACGCCCTGCGCCAGTAAAAACTCAAAAGCCCAGTCAATCGCCAGTCATGGTTCGGGTCCCGTCTCCAGCAGAACTCCGAACCCTCAGCACGTCGTCGGCGTCTGCCCACCTCACAACGTCGCAACAAAAGTCGGTCCCTTGTTTCTTGCCAGGCGTGCGCCAGCCAGCATGCGCATTCCCCCGTCTCCAGCCACGAAGCTGACCTGGAACCCCTCCCTCGTTTTTCTCCCGTCCTCCTCGTCACTCTTTCGGGTGCTCTCCCTGTCAAGCAATCTCGATCTGCTTCGCCTTCAAGTCTCCTCCTGCTTCGCTGCTGCTGCGCCTGCTGCTACTTCTTCAGCGCCTCCATTTCTGCGCTGCCGCTCTGGCCCGGCCCAGCCCGGCCCGGTCTGGCCTTGTCGTCTTCCTCGTACGCGGTCGCTCCTCCGATGTCGTAAGGCGCCAAGATTTGTAACCACGGCGGCGGTCAATTCCACCGCGTGTCAGGGTTAGGTCCTACGCGACAAGAATTCCGCGGACTTCACCGGCGCTACAGGTCCGAGACTGGCCGCTGATGCAGCGCGGTGGTGTTTCGGATTATCTCCAAGCGGGTTCGTGTGTTTCTGTGACTGCGGGGGGCGGACTCTCGGATTGGACAGACTGCGTATTTTGCTGCTACTCTGTGCTTAACTGCGCTCGTCCACAAGCCAACCGCGAGAGCCACGTGGATGAGAGGAAATCCCCAACTTTTTCATCTCTGCCGAGCAATGCGTTTGCACCTTCACAGAAATTCACATTCGGAGAATTTCGTCCTTTATGCCCTCCCCCAGTTTTCAGGGGATTTGACTAGTCTCTGCCCAGATATGGCATCCCCATTTCCTTCTCCTTCCCTGCCACTGTGGTGGCCCACCTCGTGGGTCAGCTTTAGAAATTTCGGTCTGCCCGAGGAGACCCCATGATTTATTCCTGGACGCCAATAAAGCTTGGATCCTAGTTCCTTATGTTTCATTTGGACCAAAATAAATTCACGATTGTAAAGTACAATCGCTCACAATAACAATACACTCATTTCATTGACATGTCTGAACTGCATCGTGGTTTAGGATCCTGCATCCAGGAGAGGACTGTATTTAGAACGTCCTCATAGTGCACAAGTTTTTTTTCCCCTTTTCGTTATGGGAGGACCCTTCTATATTACTCCAGGTCAAACATGTCAGTCAACTAGAATCTTTTCACATGGGCAAGTATTGATTTCACTCCATTACATTTGAAAACATGTAGAAACTTGAGGCGATTGTAGCTGACATGAATTTTTATTTACCACTCTAATGATCACTAACAACCTAACTTGTTGAACTGCAATAGTGTGAAAGGGAGCTGTGAGGAGGGTTTTGAACAATAATTGCTATCGAATAATCTCCAAATCCGATAATGCCCTATGGACATATACCTTCCCCTGCACTGTATCTGCCCATCATAACAATCATCGACTTAGTCACATCTACCATATGTTGTTATGTACTCAATATACCTTGGAACCATGATGTTTCTCAGCCAGCCAAAATATCCCCAAATCAAATCAGATCCTTAACCCCAAATCATTTTTCAGACCATATTTCGGAGAAATGAGCCTATGACTCCAAGGGAGTAATGTGGTTGAATGGGTTAATAAGAACAAGAAGGGTGCACATCTCGGTTGAAGAAGTGGGAAAAATATATTAGTGGCAGTGTTCCGCTTTGAATTCTTCATCTATGAATATTATAGCTTGAGGAAAATCGTGAGTGTCGTCACTTGCCGACGGATGTCATCGTTGGGTTTGTTCCCAGCTTGTCTCCACCTACAAGAGAAGAATTTGTTTAAATCAGATAACGAGTGAATTAGAGGAACCAATCTGTGTGAACTCTCTCTGTATCTTCAAAAGTATTGATGAAATAAACAGAAACAAATGAAATATTTAAACGAAGACGGATCTCTAAAGTCCATGTATCATAAAACTCTTGCAGCTTAAAGAACCCATCTGCTGACCTTCCATTCTGCGTAAGTAGCTAAATCACTAGCCAACTATTAAGCACATATACCCAACAAAATTCATGCGTGACAGGAGTTCATTGAGAGAGTTCTCTGTTAAGTTTTACATTTGCAAATCATGCATGTCATGTCATGGAATCAAGACACAAAATATGTGGTTTGCTCCAAAGACTCATTTGTTGAATCCAAGATGTTTTACCTCAGAAAACAAATTCTATTTTATATGCATGCATTTTATATGCTAACTGGTCTAACAAGTCATGGCTAAACTATATAGATCTTATTAATATTAAACGGTATCCAAAAATAAGATTAAATAAAATCATATCCAAACCCAACATAGTTGTTAATATATTCTACTTGTATCCATAGAGGAAACCTACAATGTGGCACAATGCTTCTAAAAATTTATGGATAACTCATTTCAATCAAGGCATGAATAATTATAAGTTTGACATCAATTTGACTAGATCAATCATTTATTAAACATGAAAGGTTGAAAAATTATATATGATCTTGATGTGTTTTACACTGCCGATAATCACCTGAAACATCTAAACATCAAGATTTTGACTATCATGATGATGTTTCACATTGTAATTACTGATTTCATTTAAGTAAGAATCCTACCTAATTTTTATTTTTTCATTAAAGCTATATACTTAGCTTTCATGATGGTATATCATGAGCACTTTTCGCAAGCAATCCTTCAACTTATGCATTCATACGAAGTTTGGACACATATTTTGTTCAAGATTTTAATTCATACAATATATATATATATATAGTGATATAAAATTCTGTGATATTGATTTATTGATTGATATTTTATATATATATATAATATCAATCAATAAATCAATATCACAGAATTTTGCAGTATAAAATCTTAAATCTAGATTATTTTAGATTATAATTTGAAATTTTTCAATCTACATCACTTCCTTTTTGAGTTATTTTTGGGATTTACATTGTTTATGCTAGTTTATAGCAAGACCAATCTCAAATTGTATACAATTCATCAAAAACAAAAAACTTTCAAACTTGATCGTATGAAATTTTGGATATTAATCAATTTTTATGCCATACATTAAACAAATATCTTTTAAAGTTTGAAAGTAAAAAGTTACATTAACATTCACAATAAATTTTTATGTTGAATCTTGCAATTGTTTTTTCAACTCATTTGTTTTGAGTTGTTTCTAGTGTGAACGGTAAAACGTGAGAAACATTCAAGTCAAGCCAAGTCACATAAGAGACTTAATGTAACGTAATTCATCCTCAGGAGAAGAGCTACATCCATCGCTAAAATCACGCGTTAGAGTTTATCGAGAAAGTGTGTTTGTAATACACAAACCCTGGGATATAAATACCTCAGCACCGGCGACCTTCATAGTATTTATTAGCTAAGACTTGAGGTTACTTCTTAACTTGAGTTAACCTCAACAATCTCCCCCTTAATTTGTGTTAAAGAAATATTAACCTCTATAGCTATATTATTACTCCGCAGAAAATTCTAGACAAAAACCTAACACAAGGTACTTCTTTACACGAGAGTTAACTAGAAATAAGCCGTAGCCATAACATAATAGAGTAATAACATAAAGAGGTAACTAAAAACATACTAGCATAGAGGGATCATAAACCTCATATCTTATATAATTACTTCACGGAAGCTTCTAGATAGAAACCTAATACAATGCTCCTCTTTAAACTAGAGTTAACTAGAACTAAGCAATAGACATCACAGTATAGAGTATTTATAAAGAGATAACTGAAACTACTATGCTAGCAAACTCTACATGTGCTCTCCATGCACAACTTGTATATTAGCACAATGTCTTTTGATAACTCTTCAAAGAAATAACTTTGGTCAACGCATAAGCTGGAATTAGTTTACCATCAATCTTGAGTAGCTCAATCATGCGTTCAAGAATTTCACTCATTAATCACACAATGATCAAACTCCTCCACAATTATATATCAAGTTGCTCAACATGATCATTAATCACATAATGATCAAACTCCTCTACAACTATATATCAAGTTGCTCAATTTGATCATTAATCACATAATGATCAAACTACCCCAAAACTATATTTGTAAACAAAAAATTTCACTTCTCAATATGAACATTTGAGAAATCTACCCCTCTTTCAATGATTTGGGAGCAATGAAAGTTACATCTATATTGACAAATACTCTACAGGCTCTCAACCTATAACATTATTTTTGCCAAAGCACTAGTTTGTCTGTCACGTGTCATCCACACTTACGACCGTGACCCGCAATTGATTGTGTCCACGACTTACTATCAGTCGTGAATGTCCCTCACCTTCCGATGGACTTTTATCCGTGATTGGCTCTCACCGTAGCCCGCAATTAATTGCGTCGCGGCTGACTGTCACTAGTGACTTTGTGATAACAGAAAAATACAAGATTGGAGCATAATGATACAGATTTGTATTAATAGAGACAGAAATAACACCGAAGATTCAAGAATTGTCACTAGTTAACATTCTATTGAGGAGTTTTACTTCTCAGGCACATATCACTCCCAAAAGACACTGCCAATTACTGTGGAAGGTCCAAAGAGCAGAGTATAAACATCCACACAACATGAAATTTGTCCTGTCAAAGCCTGCAAGAATCGCACCCGACTCCGCACTCAGAACTCACGGGGAAAACTTCCCAGAATTGCTCATTTTCAGCAGACTACTCCGAATACCCAAAGTCGAACTTGCTTAAATCCCGAATAGCCCCAGACACACTCGGAACATCCAAATCGGACACTCGCAACTCCAGATGCGGTAACTTCAACAAATTGAAGCGCACCATGCACGGTAACAAACTACCACAATTTCACGAAGAGGTACGATAGACAAAGGTTGATAGCCGAGACAAAACAATTGACAGAAAAGCTTTTCCAAGGAAAGAGCCTTGGGTCTCTTTATTCACTTTGAATTCCTAGACATCTCAACCGCCCGAGCTACTCTCAGGCGTAGTATCATCCGACACAGCGATTACTGCGTCCTCCGAGCTTCCGTCTACTCCTAATCCACGCAACATGATTAAAATTGTAATCACAGATAAATACCAAAATGGAGCATAATGGTAAAGATCCGATCCCACGAGGACAAAAACAACCACAAAAGTCACGATTTGTCACAGAATAGCATTCTATTAAAGAGTTT